ATCACTGCTCCAGTGTTGATTATTCTGGAGAGGGGTTTAGGCTATTCAGTGTATTATGATGTATCACGGGAAGGTTTTGGTTATGTTTTGATACAAGAGGGAAATGTAGTAGCTTATGGCTCACGTCAGTTGAAAACATATGAGAAAAACTATCCTACCCATGACTTAGAACTAGCAGCTGTGATCTTTATCTTGAAGATTTGGAGGCTTTAACATTATGGTGAGAGGTTTGAGGTGTTTTCTGATCACAAGAGTCTGAAGTACTTGTTTTCACAAAAATATATGAATTTGAGGTAAAGGAGGTGGATGGATTTCATGGAGGATTACGACTTTGAGTTACACTATCATTCGGGGAAGGCCAATGTTGTGGCTGATGCTTTGAGTAGAAAACCCATTAGCAATGTGGCTAGTATTGTCATTCGGGAATGGGAGATATTAGGTGCTATTGGGGAGTTTGATTTGCATCTTGGCGAGTCTGTTGAATCAACAGTGTTGTTTTTGATAGTTGCGCAACTTACACTAGTGAACAGAGTTATAGAAGCACAGAAGGGTGACCTTGAGGTAAAAAAACTTTTGAGGAGAAAATATCTAGCAAGAAAGTAAAGAAAGACCTGAACGTGTATTCCAACTCAAGTGTTAGATACCTTGACCGTCTTTTCATACCGAAGTCTTGCCGAGAGGAGGTACATCAAGAATTCCACCATTCACGCCTTGCGGTGCACCTAGGAGGTAGAAAGATGTATCATGACCTTAGCTGCCAATTTTGGTGGAAAGAAATGAAGAAGAATGTAGTTGTGTTTGTATCGATGTGCTTTACTTGTCAACAAGTGAAAGCCAAGCATCAGAGGCCAGCGGGTTTATTACAACCCTTACCTATAGTCGAGTGGAAGTGGAAGCAAGTCACGATGGATTTTGTTGTGGGTCTTCTGAGGAGTTAATAGGGTAATCATGCCATATGGGTGGTAGTTGATTGTTGACTAAGTCAGCGCACTTTTGTATTTATGCGCACAAGTGACTCGGTAGATTATCTTGCCGGCTAGTATATTAGGGACATAGTTCGACTTCATGGGGTCCTTATGACTATTGTTTCAGATAAAGATCCTCATTTCACGGCTCGGCTGTGGCAGAGCCTACAGAATGCCTTGGACAGTAGATTGACTTTTAGTACCACCTATCATCTTCAGACTAATGGGCAATCAGAGCATACCATTCAGATGCTTGAAGATATGCTTCAGGGTTGTGTTCTTGACTTTAAGGGGTCATGGGAGAGGCACTTGCCCTTAGTAGAGTTTGCCTATAACAACAATTTCCAGTCGAGTATTGGTATGGTACTGTTTGAAGCCTTATACGGCCGACCGTGTAGATCTCCTGTGTATTGGGTTGAGGTGGGTGATGCACCTATGATAGGTCCAGAGTTAGTCTGGGAAACGACAGAGAAAGTTGCACTTATCCGTAAGAGGTTAGTTACATCTCAGAGTCGTTAGAAGAGCTATGTCGGCCATAGAAGGAGACCATTATCCTTTGAAGTGAGAGATCACGTCTTCTTGCAGATATCACCTAGACAGGGTTTAATGAGGTTTGAGAAGAGCGAAAAATTGTCTCCTAGGTTTATTGGGCCTTTTGAGATCCTTGAACGAATTGGGGAGGTAGCTTATCGCCTGGTCTTGCCGCCACAGCTTTCCAGCATTCATGCCGTGTTTTATATATGTATGCTTCAAAAGTATAAGCTGGATCCATCACATGTGTTGGATTGGACGGAGTTAGAGGTAGACAAGGATGTCTCGTATGAGGAGAGACCCATTAGAGTTTTAGATACTCGAGACCAAGTCTTACGAGGTAAGACAATTCCTTTAGTAAAAGTGTTGTGACGATACCACAGGGTTGAGGAGGCCACTTGGAAGCGTGAGTCGGAAGTTCGTGAGAAGTATCCGGACCTATTTGTTGATGTTTGAACATGTATTGAAAACTTTGTTATGTTAATGTAATATAAACATTGCATATGTTTTGGAAATGTAAATTGTATATTCAGTATTGCATATTCGCTATTCATGTTGACGAGAATGGATGACGAGTGGATGGGTTATAATGTTAAGTTTGAATTACTATCATTATTGTAACTAGTTTAAACATGGTTTTAATGTTTGGTTTAAAATTTCAGGGATGAAATTCCTTAAGGGGGGAGGTTATAGCGATTCTGGTTTAGAACCGACCCATTAGATATTTTGGATCTGGGTTTCATTGTCTTATATAGTTGTTCATGCCTTGTTTTCCCTCATTTCTCTTTGAGTTTGGCTTTTGGGATGTGTTGGTTGCGTTTGGAACAGGTTGGTAGTTTATTTTTCAAACTGTTGCTGCCTAGAAATTTGCTTCTTCACTCGAGCGACACTTTTTGTGCTCGAGCGGTCCTTGTGAACTCCTAATACTTTTGTAGGTCTGCAGAGATACTAGGTATTGGTATTTTTTGCTCAAGCGGTATTTCTTGCACTCGAGTGGTGTTCACTCGAGCGAGTCTTCTTGTGCTCGAGTAGTGGTCCTCTGTTTGTAAAACTTCTAGGAGTTGGTATTTTTCGCTCGAGCAAAGATTCTTGTGCTCGAGCAGTACAACTTATTGTGTGTGGTCGCTCGAGCGACACTTATTGCGCTCGAGCAATTTGTGTGTATATCAGTTCATAAACAACCATTTTTTAGTCACTTTTTCATTTCTCTGTCTCTCTATACATTTCAAAACCCTAATTTCTCTCTTACTCTCTCTCTAAAACTCATTAATTTCCCTTAAATATACCTAGACTCGTCGATCTTTTCACATGTGCCCCTTTGTTAAAAAGATAGAGCTTGACAATGGCTTCGTTCTAATTGGAGCAAAGTTGATTTTCGGCGTCCTTGAGTTTTCTACACTTTTCTTCTCGTCTTCTAAGTTTGAGGTATGGATTCTTTGCACTTTCTATGAGTTTTAACTTAGCTATTTGTGCTTTGAAACAATATTGTGATTTGGGAAATTTTTGAACAAATCTAGGGTTTTTGGTCAAAACTCAAAAGAGGGATTTTTTAATAGTTTCATGGAAATGGTTGTGGGATTTGAAATGAGATTAAGTTATGATAAAACAGTTGATTTCGATATGTAGAATTGATTTTGGAAGAAAATGGGGTTTTGCCCTAATTGTGTTAAATGTTGATTTTATATAAATTATGGAATTGGTGTTGGGAATAAGAAATTAGATGGGTTTTGATGAGGATGGTAGAGTTGGATATGTATTACCACTCACATCTTGTAATTAGAGGGTTTATCCTTTTTGATAATTGATTATCTGTTTAGAAATATATGTTTTGGGCTATCGGTGGAAGATAACCATGATTGTTGTAGAAATTGCATGAGAATTAAGAGAATTAAAACTATTTTCTCATTCAATTTCATTGAGCATTATCTTATACCTTTACATTGGAAATGTTTATCATTTTGAAAAAAAATAGGTGAATTTGGGAAATATGTATTGTCTTGTTGAAATAAGATGGCCTGAGTGTCCATGGTGAAAGTCCTAAAAATTGCGCATATACATGGGTGCCGATCCCATGGATGAAATTTCCATAAAATGGTAATAGTAGTGCTTATATTGCCTACGTTTATATAGGTGTAGATTTTCAGTTTCCCGCGGATGAAATTTCTATGAAAGGTTGTATTTGTTTGAGATTCCCAGAGTGTGATTCACTGCCTTGTTTTTTATTGTAAAAGAAATGATTTATGAATCATGATATTAACTTGGCATTGCATAGTTTTGGAAAGAGATATAAAATGTTTTGGCACAAGCATTGCATATTCATTCACCTTATAGTTTTGTTAAGATTCATATACTATGTTGTATTATTTCGACTAGGCTTTGGCTCACCTTATGTGGGAAAAACATTTTAGGTGCAGATGATATGCCTCCGCTAAGGCAATAGCTTGGGGGCACTTGGAGCAAGAGCTTCATTTTGTTGATTTTTGTATATATTTTGCACAAACCAAGGGCCTTTAACTATATTGGACTTAAATTCCACTTTTGTTGTAACTAAGCACAGTCTTGGAAAGTCGTAAGCCTTTAAGGCATTTCTTATTTGTTTTAACTTTCATCCTATTTCCTTATTATGTAACATATGCTATTGATTCAGGGTTATGCTTGTAAATGTATATCAACGTATGTTATTCTTTTGTAAAACTTAATTGGAAGCTAATGAAAGATAATTACTCTATCATAGTTGTCACTTATTGATGTTGTAGATGGGTTATTGCACTTATTTCAGGGCGTTACAGTTTTTAACAACATAGTTCTTTGCCATGAACACATGAGCTATATGGCAAATACTTTATAAAGCCATTACCACTTTATTGTGACTCTATTTATCATTTATTGTGGTAAGATACTTAATCATTAATTGAGATCATGCTTACCACTTATTATGACAATACTTACCACCTATTGAGATAATACTCACTACAACAAAAAAGGGTTTTTATGGCACGCAATGCACGCCTTAAAAACCCTTCCACGACGTGCAGCGCGCGTCATATTATGACCAGTTATAGAAAGTCATTCACTTTCAACGACATAAAACTATTTAACGGTAGATTTTGTACGTCGTCGTTACTTTTTCTAGAACATCCTATAGTACGCTGTTAAAAATTATTTAACGACAAATTTTGTGCGTCGTTGTTACTTTTTCTACGACTACTTTTGCACGCTGTTAATTGGTGAGACAAATAACGACGTTGATTGCGCGTCATAAAATTTGTAATACAACAACTTATTATGCCTGTCGTAGAATATGTAGTTTTTTATTTTTATTTTTAAATTCAGCAGGTTCTATTTGACCAATTTTGTACAATCTAACAAATATTACAAACAAGCATTACAAAACATCAATCAACCACCAAAATATTGTTTGAAACATCAAAAAGAAACTATATCCATAAATTATAAAACATGCAACAATTGTCTATACATTCCAAACATTCGAAAACTATATCCTTAAGTTCTAAATTGTACAAAAAGTTTAAACCATCCAAAACTATGCATATCTAACTTTCTAAACATATTGACAACTATTAAGAGATTATCTAAAACTACTGACAACAGTTCCTATAACAGTTGTTGTTGCAGATGCAGCAAATCCACTTGCTTCTATCACAGGGACGAGGGTGCCCAATGTATGTGTTAAGGCACCTAAACCCGTGACAATAGCTGGAGCAACTAACCCTGTTGCATTTCTTGTCTGCATGACAAAGGAAACTTCATTTTAAGTCCAAAAACCGATGACTCAAGGATAAAAATATTTCTTGAGGTATTAAGAAATGATCAAGAAATTTTAAAATATCAACAAAACATTTCCAAAATTAATAAGATAATTCAATGGCCCCATAAAAGCAATGTCATATAAGCCAATCACATGCCGAACGTAACTTTTTCTTAGTTATAAACTAAAGCAAATAAATCCATTTTTCAATACACAATAAACTTTTTTAAAAGAACAAACTTAATTATGCACCTAATCAACTAAATAAACTAGACGAAACCATTTAATAACAACAACATCAATTAAGGGCATTAGGCTTACAAAGAACTATCAGCAAGTCTTTTAATTTAAAAACAAACATCTTTTAGTCCAAAAATACTAACCAACAGCTACAATAGAGTACATATTCGAAATCAAATAAAAATATTTTACCTGCCTCCATGATAATTCGTAACTGCTATAGCAGCCACCATATGGGGTTGATGACAAAAACTAGATTGCTAAAAAAACAAAGGAATGTAGGTAAATAAGAAACAATGAAAATAAAAAAATTAACTCCAATGAACTAAAGCAACAAAGACAGCATAAGGTAGAGCTTAACCTAAGAAGCCAACCTAAGAAGCCGTAAATTCCTTTTCTTTTCTCTTCTTGTAGAAACCCACAATTTCAAATCCTTTGCCACAAAAGAGTAAAAAAATGCCCATTTTGGTACAATGTAAAAACAAAGTAATATATATTTTATAGTTCTAAAAGCCTTGGCATTTATATGACAGTCATTTCTTATTACCATGAAGTACATGTTAATTCTCTAGATTAAATAAGATTTGCATTGACCCATAATTTGAACCAAGAGGGTAAAGTTTAAAGAAGCATGTCACAACAAATTATCTCTAGATTACATAAAAAAAAAACTATGCTCACCCATGATTACTCCTGCTTGCAAGGAAAAATAGATTACACAATTCATAATCAACCACAGTTGCCACTGTCTAAACCTTTCATAATTTTGTTATAGCACTCCACAATAAGTATAAAGTTTCTTATTCTAACAGAGGAAAAATATGCAACACACTAATTTTCGAGAAAAACCTACAAGTTCAAATTTTCTGAAAAATGCCATGTAACACAGCTAGTCTTGAAGTTGCACACTAAGATCCTAGCTTTGAACCACTAATATCATCAAACCCTTTACTAAAACCCCTTACCAAAAATCATTCAAACCCACCCAATTGCAATCCACACATTCCCAATTCAAAGTAGCCAAAAAAATTCAAATTACTGTTTTAGCTTAGATCTGATACGAAGCCTTACACCAAGAATTCCTATCTTTCACATCCAACATTATAACTTCCTTTGCATGTTTGATCCTTTCCTCAGCAATCTCTGGCTGATTATCAGTACCTTCAAAGATAACAAAGAATTAGGAAAGTAGATAAATGCATTTATATTATGATTGATGCATAGCCTTTGACTCGAAAAAAGAGTGAGCTCTGCAATGCTTCCATTTGTTGTGATTAGATCTCCAAATTATTTTTATATTTACACTTTATACAAGCCTTAGCAAACCAAAAGTTGAAAATTAGAGACCACAAATAGCATGAGAAGGAGGCTACTTTCTGATTTGAAATGATAAACCAATCTGAATTTTCTCTTATATATTTTACCTTCCTTTGACTGACTAGAAAATATGCCCTATTTACATTTTTACAAGAATACTCACCTAATATAAAAATCATAAATAATCTTTTTTCTTTTATCTCCATCTATCATGCTTCTCTTTTTTTCTTTGGGCAAGCAAGGGAGTTATTCTTTGTACTCCCAAAGTTTCTAGACCAGTTAAATTTGATGATTACCAAATTGTCTTTAGCAAATATAGTTGGCAATACAAGGGCAAAAAAGTTAGTCAAGAACACAAAAATTCTAACAAAATTCACCATCTCTAGGCCTGTTGCTTCCATCAACACCACAACAAAGGTACTAGATTAAAAGACATCAATGAAACTAGTGGCAAAAAAACAAACAGAAGGATTCAGAACTCAAGAAGCTCAAAATCAAAAAATAGATAGAATGGTGAATGTTTTCTCTTTCCTTCTTCCTTTTGAGACAGCAAAAAAAACCAGTAAATGTTTTTGGAACAAGAATACGATGATAGGTACAAGCAACGTAAGTTACAACATTATTATTAACTAAAATAGATTCATTAATCTCCTAAATAAACTCACTGTAAATAAATGGCCCAAACATTCTAGATCTAAAATAGAGAGCACTTCATAAATTATCTCCCAAAGAACCAAGAACCCAAGTATAATGTAACCATAAGAGAAAACAGAATAATAACTTCTTGTCTTTTAATAAATATGGAAGATTATATTCAAGAGGAACCAAGAGAAAACAGAAAAATAACACTGAACTAAGATCCTTGCATTGAGCCATTCTTCTTTCTAGCATAGATAATTGATAAAGTATCTTTTTGTTTGGACCCTACATTAGATATAAACTTATTGGTAGTTGAATATACACAGATGAAATAAAAACACACATCACTGTTGAAATTGGAGAAACAATGGAAATATATCAGAACTCAAAAACATAACCTTGCTTAGTGCAAGTGAGCAGTTTTTTGCTGAAGGTAGATCTCCATTTTTCCAAATGCAGTTACCTAAGCAGAGCCAAGCAACTGCCAGAGATGGATTCAACTTCACCTGGAATAACATCAGCCAATTTCAAAACGTAACCCTCAGCCTGAGCAATGCAGCACATGAAACAACCAGGATTGAAACTTTTTTTTTTCTGACTTACAGCTTTTGACAGGTGGTCTTCTGCTTCTTTTCTGTAATTAGGAAATACATCTAATATCTTTCCCTCAAATATTCATATGGCAGTCCATTATGATAACCTAGATTAATACATCAGAATATTAATTTTTTTTAAAGAAAAAATATTTATACACCTTAAGTCAATGCCTATTGTTAATCTATTTATTTCCTCAAGGCCAAACTATAATAGACCACTAGCTTCAGTAGAAAAGATACAATTGATTCTTCAAGCAATAATGGCAAATCATCAAAGTCAGAAATATCACATCACAAAGGTATGGTAAATTCTTGTAAATCCATGCAAAGCAAGAATTTACCTAGAGCTAGGTCTTCAAATCCTTTAGTTGTATTGCCAAAGGTTCCTACATTTTTTAAATTCTGCAGAAAAATCAAAATGAAAGAATGCAATGATCTTATCCCTATGACCAAAAAAGTACATGATCCCCCCCCAACCTTTCAGCAGAAAACATAAATTATAACTTAAATTATGGGATAAACTTTCATGTCTACAACTATTTCAAGCAACAAACAGAAATGCATTTATCAGTCTCTTAACAAATATAATTCCACTGGAATGAAATGCATTCAAATAATGCCTTTGAATCAAAAATTAAGTGAATTAAGTGAATTAAGTGAATCATGTGATTCAATTTTCCATTAATTACAATTCGCTACGATTTATTATGATTCAACGCGTCAAAAAGTAAGAACGGACACGTGCATTCAATGCGTCAAAAAGTAGTCCTAGCCTCTTTACCTTCAAAGTCGCAAAGAGAAAGTCCATATCAGCCCCCTTTTTCCCGGTTCCGAACAGAGGATTCATAACAACAGTATCAACAATTGGACCTACACAAGAAATCAAGATCACTACTTTAGTAAATGAACGAATACTATAGTAAGCTTAGCATCTCCCACAGAAATATATTAAGCAAATATATCATGTTACATGAATTGCAACTCAATACCAATAGCCCCAAATGCTATACAAGAATATGTCTAAGGGAAATATCCAAAAGATAAATTAACTATCAACACATCTCTTAAAGAACAGTTTGCAATGTCTTCAAGAAAACAAACACTTCCCTCCAAGTCAGTCCAAGTCTAGCAGTTCCCTGGATAAAATTGTGTGGTATAACTTCTTTGATGCTCAATTTTGGCATTCTATATACTATTTGAGTTAAGGAATGCACCACACACACAAACACATAATTACTAATGACAGAAGCATACTGAACTTCTATTGTGTGTGTATGTTAGAGAGAGAGAGAGTTTTGTTTTTGCCCATCCATTGTATTTTTTCTGTAAATGTGCGATGAGCCAATTAGTGAGAATAATAAAAAAATAAACTAAAAACAGAGTGCCTAATTTGGCTGGAGGCTTGGAAAAAGAATAAAGATAGGTAGCCTAGAGGGATTCTCATTGTGAAAGTTTGTGTAACTGAAAGGGAGATAAAGTGATTTACCTCTCCATCGTAAATTCCTCACATCAATCTGAACAAACTCTACATCTAACGGCATTTTTTATCAATTAATGAAGCAATACTACATCAGTCAACTGCCGTTAAAAAACAAAATGACCCAAGTATTGAGTGCACCTCCAAAATCACATCGATCAGCTAGTTTCGTAAAGACAACAACATTATACTTCTTTGTATAGGGAACTCTAGTTCCCCCAACTGTGTTTGAATCTTGGATTTGGGAAAAACTGAGCCGAGTTAAATAGTGGATTGTTTAAAGTTAGTTTCAAAATTTAGAAGAAATTTACGATGTGCACCTTAAAAAGACACTGTCAAAAAATTTATGCTACTTTGTAATAAAAATTTCAAATAAGCAAATATTTAACGTGTACCTTATGAATGTGTTACCTGTGGTGTTTGTTATTGGTTTTGCTTATTGTTTTTTTTCATTTTTTTTTTTTTGGGTGTGGGTATATTGTTCTAGAAACAAAATGGTAATTAGAGGAAGAAAGTTCTGCGAAATTCAATGTTTGTCGTTACTAAGAAATCCCATTTCTAATCTGTTAAATTTTATCATGTTATAGTGACTCCGTAACTACTACTAGTCTGAAACCCTGTTTCTTCGTTGCCCATTCATCAATTTCAATTTCAATTTTCATTTTATAGTTGGTCAAAACCTTGAATGAATGATCATTGTGTAAGTCTATATATTTAATATATACACATAGATACATATATACACACACACAGAGAGACAGAGACGCATATATGGCTATTGATGAAGATCAAGGAATCATTCAAGGTAGCATACCTGGAGAAACTAGAGTTAAACCTCCATAGAGTAACTCTGACTCTCCTTCGAGGTCTGACTCTTCTTTGACTCGGTCTCCCACCTGAGCGACAACTCGTCAAAGTAATTCTACAACTCGATTCGACCAGACTCAATCTCGTTCACAAATCTGAGAGAGAGAGAGAGAGAGAGAGAGAGAGATGCCCCAAATGAGATGTGTTTAGGGAAAATCTGAGAGAGAGTGAGAGAGAGAGAGAAGAGAATAGAATAGAAGGGTATAAGTGTGTACCATTCCTTATCTCCTTTCATGTGCCCGACGCTATTAAGTGGAGTTGTACTAGCGATGGATGTCCTTCGAACCAGTGTCTGATGATTAGAATCTATTATAAGCCCAAACAATTGATGTATATTTTCTTTTCCTAAATATTTTTTTTTTGTTTTTTTTGGTGAATTGGTGCCAAAAATTTTATTTTGGTGCTTCTTTGTTTTTGATCATACAATTTACGACATACATTGTCTGTCGTAAAAATTGCAATACTTTTAACGGCAGGCGTTGTGTGCGCCGTAAAAAGGCAATACTTTTTAACGGCAGGCGTTGTGTGCGCTGTGAAAAGTATTCACTTTTCACAGCTGGTGTATGTGCGTCGTATATAATTGATGTATTAACGGCATGTCATATTCACATCGTAGAAAGTTTTATTATTTACAGCATGCATTGCAAGCCATAAAAAAATCATTGTTATTATCATTCACGGCCTACGCAATAGACACGTCGTGATTGAAAAAGTATTTACGACGTGAAAAAAAAGCAAGTCGTAAAAGTGAGAAACTACGGCATGCATTTATTGTATGTCGTTGATGTGGTGCCGTAAAAAGTCAGTTTTGTTATAGTGACTTATTATTAATTGGCACAATATTTACCATTCGTTTTAATTCTACGTACCACTCATTGTGACTCTATTTATTGTTTATTATGAAAATTGTTGCTGCTAATTGAGACAATGCTTACTACTTAGGGAGATAATACCTATCATTCATTAACACAATACTCATTATTCATTTCAATTATAATTACCATTTATTGTGACTTTCACTATGTTTGTGACAACATAGTTGTTTCCCATGAACACGAGTTATTTGGAAAACAATTTGTAAAACCATCATCCTTATCATCAAAGAAGTCTAAAATTTCTAGATCTAAACTCAGGAAATTAAAAATGGATGAATTAATGGAAAAAGATGATATCATTTGTGAGCGGACACTTTGGCAAAATAGATAAATTACAACTTTTCATCCATAAGTTTTATAGTTTTCCATTTTGCCCCTTTAAAGCATTTTTTTTCCTCGCTTTGGCCATTAATGTTTGTATTTTTTCTCGATTTACTCTCAAAGCTAATCTTTGTCCAATTTAAATCCAAATTCAAATCAAAATTTAAACCTTTTAGACACCTTATTTTGACCGACCCTAAGACTTGGGAACCTTCCCAAGCTTTCCGATGATGAAAATAAAAACTCCTTGCTTTGAAATCTTCAAAACAAACTTTCAGATGGAGAGAGATATCCCACCCTAAACCTGTTTTGGCCAAGATGTTTTTAAGATCATTAAAAAGATTTTTCAACATGATTTTCATAGGTAGTTATGTTATTTCAATCATTTCACTATGTCCAAGCTTTTTGTTTATAAATAAAATAAAATAAAAATCTTGTTCTTTCTAGAAAATAAGCAAGGACAAAGCTAGAATGAGTGAAATGCGGAAAAATATTCTAAAAATAGCTGAGCCACATTGTTTTAGGCCAGCAACACAAAATCTTTTAGCCCCAGTGTTTTGCAAATTTTCCATGGATGCAACTTAAAGCTATGACCACATGAAAAATGTGTGGCTGTACAAAACGTGCGGCACGAGAAAGTTTCTAGAAGATAGTCCCCTAGCATCTTGGAAGATGTCATTTCACACAATTATCGAAAAATTACATGATGAGGCACTTTCCAGAGGCCTGGAGGCCTATGAATACACCTTTCTGGGTAGAGATGAACTCTCTTGATATTTGATGCTTACTCATTCTCTGTCTCTCTCTCTTACTCATATATAGCTATATATACACTCAAATACATATAGAAGCACTTCATCTATGGTTGGAATATGACGCATTAATACTTCATTACAGACTTGAGGGAAGCTTGAAGGAGGCAATTCAAATTGCTTGAGCCCTTCATCTCTTAGCTTGAAGTACTCTCTACTTTCATCACTTTATTTTCTTTTCATTGCATTTCTCTTCTCACAAACACTACTTATATATTGATTCTATTGAGATTATTGATATGTTGGGGCTAAGGTTACTCCCCTATATTGTGTTGGATTGAATTGTTTTCATTTTTTAGCACTTTCTCTATCATTTTCTTAGTAGCCAATTACTTTTTATTATTTCACTTTCTTTTATTTTCTAGTTGAATAAAGGTTTGTATAGTTGATTTTAGTTAAATCCTTATCTTTCAATATGATTAGATGGCTTGTATAGTGGATTCTAGTCAAATCCTTGTTATAATGCTTTAGATTTATTATCATTATGCTTGATTGCTTCCCTACATTTTCTTGGAAGCCAAACATGGTTTCCTCCTTGAAAATAGATGAAATCTATTCTCTGAACTCATTTTTACATGGATGTGGACATTTCATGCCTATTTCCATAATGTATTTTAATAGATTTCTTCTATTTTCATTGGTTTTGATTATTTCTTTCATTGTTGAGTATAATAGCTTTCTTAGAAGCCAAACATGGGCTTCCTCCTAGAAAATAGTTAAAATCTATTATCTCAATTCATTTTGACACGGATTTGAACATTTTCATGCTCATTTGCATGAGTAGAGATGTAAGTTTCTCTATTTTCTTTGAGTTCTTGTTTTTCTTAGATTAACCCTTTTGAATTATGTATTTCCTATTAGAGAATGGTTGAGTATACTATTTTAACCCATCATTACATGGATTTGAGCATCTCACACTCATTTCCATGAAGTAGAGAGTAGACTTCTTCTATTCTCTATTTTCTAGCTTCCATTTTCTTAGCCAGTAGCTTAGTTTCCTTGGATTATGGGTTGAATATACTTCTTTCATGTTACTTTTCATAGATTGAGGTCTTTGTTTTTCCATATGCCTCTTTCTATGTCCCTTTCCAAATTGATTCACCTTATTTTTCATCTCTTCTCTCATTCTTTTTGCTTATTGCATAGAGTAGCTTATATTCTTGTTTTCTTTACTGTAGCTTCCAAAGGAATGTTGGAATCTACCCTACAATCTATTTTTCATTGATTTGGACTTTCATGTTCATTTCCATGCGTTTGGGGTAGATTTCGTGTCATGACCTGAACCCGCTCCTAGATGTTTGGATCATAACTGGACAGAAATCTTGAGATTACCTACGACCTCAAATAGAGATCTAATCATATTTAATTATATGGGGCCAGTAGCGAAAGTAGAATTATAAAATTTTGACCAATGAGCTGTGTATTTATGGCTTGAACAAAAATATTCATTACGTTAATAACTTACATCTGATTATATAAACATATCATAATATTACACATATCCATAAATCACCCCATAAGAGTACAAAACATTATCTTACAGCCTAAAGGGTTAAGTACAACCATGGTCAACGTGACCGGCAAAAGTAAATAAAAGATCAAAGACAAAACAAAAGCCTCTTCTGTGAGGTGCTTCTTGGCTAACTTTATAAAACTCAATAAACTGCACAGGTTCCCTAGGGCTGGGGCTAGATATCCCGTTGCTTGCCTACATACATATAAATACGAAGTGAGCTAACGCCCAATGAATAACATCAAAGTAAAGGGGTTATATGAATGAGCTCTTTTAAGTAACTTATGCATTTCCATATCACTAACAATTCATAACGGAACGACCTTGGGTCTAACCGATAGGGGAATGACCTTGAGTCCAACAGATAATAGATGTACAGAATAGAATTGAACATATCTTAATGGAATGACCCTGGGTCCAATCATTTATAGTTGTATAATGACCATTCGGTCAACTCATAATACATAATCAGACTTATCAAATATTCAAAACGACCTTAGGTCCAACTTGTCAAATATACGAAATGACCACGGGTCCATTTTAGATGTCCATCATACACATTCATGTCACATCAATCACATTTATAGATATCATGTTGATCGGACAGATAAAACTCATTCGCGCTTGCAAAATGATAAGTTCAAAACACTTACTACATTAAGACATTCAGAAAATAGAATAATAAGAACATATCTTTACTAAGATATTGCTCACAGTGATTCAGTTGCTGACACGTCTTCGCAGATGGTCCTATATAACTCATAAACATACACACATTGAATCACATTACTTAACCAGATTGTTCTTTAACATGTTCAATTATCCGAGGCTTTTTTTTTTCTAACTCTTTAATTCAATTAGGATGTTTAATTTATAACTAAGAATGCTCAGAAGGGAATGAGAATGCCAAAGTGAGTAAAATACGACTTTTCAAAATATGCGGAAACATGACAATTTGCTTGAGCACAACATTGGTCGCTCGAGCGGACCACTAGGTCTGCAAAAGTGTTGGATGGTCTGAATCTAAGCTAGATGTTTGCTCGTACCAAGGTGAAAAATAAAAGGCAATCGCTTGAGCGATGACTTGGTCGCTTGAGCTAACTACAAATGTCTGTAAAAATACTAGATGCATGAAATGTGCACTCGAGCGACATATTGTTTGCTTGAGCGGTGAGGCAGAATTCTGGAATTTCCAGAACAGAGTTAAGCTTCAAAACATGTGTTTTCAAATCAAATTCTTGCATGGCTTGTATTTAACTTCACAAACACTTGAAACATAAACATACACTCAATTGCGGTCAACAACTCAAAACTCCATGAATTCTTCAACATTAAAATTCAAATCTTCATGCATGTATGATTAAACTTTAAATTCTTTTTCCAAGGCTTATATAAAACATGAAATTTATCTACAAATCTTTGTGAATCATGAATGCATGTACAATTCATCTTCTAAATTCAACATGGATGACATCAATCATACTCAAAATTATGAAACTCTACTAAATTATGCATGCATGTATGCATAAACCTCTAATTCTTCATCCTAAACTCAATTCTTACATTTAAACACATAATCTCCTTGAATTCACATATGAAATGACTTAGTTTTATAAATTTAGAGCTAATCACTTACCTAAAGTCTTCAATCAAGCAAATTCTAGCAAGAACTTGGGTTCTTCTACCGAATTCTCCAACATTCAAGTCAAATTTTCAAGATCAAGCCTTCTTTCTCTCTAAATTGAAGTCACACTCTCTCTTTCTAGAGCTCTCTGCAGAATTTTTGAGTTCATTCCTCTAATTCTC